CGAGACCTCGCACGCGGTTAAAGATGAGCTCAGTCTCTCGAACAGTACGTCCAGTCATGACGTAAACATCGTTCTTGTCATCAGCAACAAGGTCGTTCAGCACGACAATGACACGCTCGGTGTTCGCCAGGACGGTGTTGTTAACAGATCCGTAGGATGCGAGGGTGCCTTCGTAGTCGAGTACAAAGAGTCGTCGCTGAGATGCCTGGTAGGTACGCGCAAGATTGCTGGACGAAAGACGGGGAATGGACATGGTGTCGCGCTTGAACTGCTCCTCGTGGACCTTTGAGAGATGGCAGCTGAGGTTGTTAACCCAGAAGTCACCAGTCTGGTGCATAACCGTATCGCGCAACTTGGTATATCTGCGTTCCTTTTCGGAATCAGTCATCTCCAAGGCGACCTTGAACGCTTGTGCGATGCTGTTGTAGTCCCAGGGGTTCACAGCCAAGTCGGCACCTTGGAAGACTGAAGCACTTCCGGTGAACTCACTGAGGATGACAGGACCGTGCTTCTTTGGACTCGCGCGACCGTCCTGGCAGATGACGAATTCGTGGCAAGTAAGGTTCATGCCTTCACGAAGACTGGTAATCGCGAGGGCATCGGCAATGGAAAGAAGCGCGAGATATTGCGAAAAAGCGATATCCTGCCTCAGGAAGACGAGAGGGTTATGCGTCAAGGTTGAGTGAACCGCGTCGATGCGAGTGACGATCTCTGAGACGGTTGCAGCGAGTTCAGTGTCTTCGGTGGTAGATGTGGCGACTTGGATCATAACAACCTTGTCTTTCCACTCGGGGTTCTTGTTGAGGAACAACTCGAACGCTAACAGCTTCTGCCTGACACCACGGATGTTGTCGAGCTTGTCGCGAGCAACGATGACCTTCTTGCCCTCGTACCGCTTCTGCATGGTCTGAATCCACTCTAGCACCTCGGGTTCCTCGCGGGCCAGGGCGAGAGCGCGAGGATCAATGCCGATAGGCGATGAGTGTACGTTGACGAAGCGGTTCTCAAGTTGGACACCGTCTTCAGTAGCCTCGACGGAGAGAATTCGACTGCACGTCTGCAGGAAGTGGTGGGAATACTCTGGTGTCTGGAAAGCGACTAGGTTCGCCCCGAGCATGCCGTTGAGCAGCTCCTTCCGCGCGGCCAAGCAGCGGAAGACTTCGGAGGAGGGGAACGCAGTGTGGAGGAAGAAGCCGATCTGTGCATCTGGAAGCTTCTCGCGGATCATCTGTGGGACCAGACACAGGTGGTAGTCGTGGATCCAGATGACGTCTCCGCGCTTGTAGTTCTTGACGACCTTGTCGGCAAAGGCCTGGTTGACCTTGACGTAGAAGACCCATGAGTGGTCGAGGAAAGCCTTGCTCTTGGGGTGGTCGGGGATGATGTAGTGGAAGACTGGCCACAGGATGGTCTTGCAGTAGTGCGCATAGTGGCCATCGAAGTCCTTATCGCTGACGAAGACGGTGAGGGCGTCCTGCTCCTCCTCGAGCTTCTCGTAGATCTCCGTCTTCTTCTCCTCGTTCAAGCTGTCTGTGGGGAATCCGATCAAGCCGACAGTGATGGTGTCACTAATACATTTGTTGTCCACGGCACAGCGCAGCGCGTTGGTCAGGCCGCCGTTGCCCTGGACAGCTGGCACGACGGAGTACTCGGTGGCCCATCGCGGGTCCGTTGTAGGCTTGCCGGCGTGAGAGCCCTTCATGCGCTCCTTCTGGGCCTGCGCCCGCTCCTGCGCCTTTGCGTATTCGAGGATGGTGTCGGGAGGCGCTGGCTCGGCCCTGGACATGGGCTGGTTGAAGAAGAGACCGGTAGTACCCCATTCGGGGACATGGGCATCGCTACGTACCAGGCCCCGGGGGTCTGCTGGCTTGGGGAAGTGCGTGGCCGCGCTGGGCTGGCCGGGGGTGAAGAAGTCCTCATGCTCCGTCATGCGCATGGGCGTCTTGGGCAGCTGGATGTGTGTCGGCGGCGCCCGCTTAAGGAGGCTCGGAGTCTGCTCTTCAGTTGCATTCTTGCTGACGGGCCGCGATTTGGCTATGCTAGTAGCGGAGGACTCGCGGGCGGTCTCGCTCAGCTTCGGGGGAGCGGCGTCTGGCGGGCTTGGGGGGTTGGACTTGGACTCGTGGAAGTCGACGGTATACGGGAGGAAACTAGCGCTGTTAAAGGGCGAACGCGGTGCAGATGGGAATCATAGTGCGCTATCTACAGGTTGATTCAGGCTGACAAGTGAAAAGCGGTACCTACAGGGAGACGACTTGGGTAGTCATGTTGGGCAGCAGTCTGGCGTGGGCGCCCGCTGGTCAGAGATTGAGGTTGTAGAAATGGTGGAGAAATGGCAATCAGATATAGGCGGGAGAAGCGGGTCCTGCGCAATGGCTTGGGGCAGACGAGGTGAAGTTATAGAGGCGGTGGGCGCGCGCAGTGAAATTTCCGGCAGCTTCGATCGATCGTGATGAAGCAGGTAGTAGGGAAGCCACGCCTTTAGTTACGCGTGTCAGTCGGGGCCCAAGCAAGAAAGTGCTGCCGGCGTGCTGGGCTGGGGGTTGGGCAAATTCAGGATATCTGGCTGCTGTTCCTGGATGAGGCGTGCGGCTTACGGCAAGGGGCGTACTTGATACTTTCGTGTCCATGGCCGCAAATTGCAAGATTTCAGCCCCGCGGTATGACGTACGGCCACACCGGCACGCACAGCGCGTTTGGTGGGCCTCTCCACCGTCGCACTGCAATCAGCGAAGGCCTTGACTCGACGACGGTCATCTTTACGCAAGTTGCACGGAAGACCGTCGTCAGACTGTGCCGGCGCCTGCTCTGCTAACCTGACAGCTGCGGGAGCTTCCCCATTTAGTCGCGCATCACTGTGCCCCGCCCACCAATTAGACACACGCCGGCTCGTGCAACCGTTGGGGCCATGAACCATAGCCTGCCTCCGTCCTGCGCGCTGAATCTCCCGAAGCCAGTCGCCGTCTGTGCAGCCCGCGCAGTTTGCAACCTTCACGTGAAGGCTCCCATCTCGATGGGGGTTGGTGGGAAAGTGTTGAGAGCGACTCAAGGCTAGTGCGCCGTCATGGCATTTCAAAGAATCCGATAGTGCGCGCAGAATTCGATGTTGACCTGCAGCGTGGCCCTCCCGCGGCTCACTCCCCCCACATGCTGCTATATTTTTCATGCATGCCGTCTGCAGAGACTTGACGAATCAGCCGTGCTGAACGCGCGCGTGGAATAGACGAGAAGATTGGAGAAACTACGTGTATGCTGCAGGCCTTGAAACTCTGACCGCGTACAGCGTCTCACGTAAATATCGAGATATCATGCTACCTGGAATCGACACAAAATTCGCCTTACCCTGCCACGGCCTGTCTCGGCCGCGGTACATGCGCCAACATGATGTTTCCTTGACAACCCGAACTTGTCGACTACACGAACACACTGAAGACCGCATCACTAGCTCTTAGTTCATAGAGACGAACGCATGTGTATCAAGTGAGGAACACAATCGAGCAAGAATCTCGACTTCAACATGTAGGCTGCGTTGGGCTGACCATGACATACTGCATGCAACCAGATCGAACCGTAATATATATATGCATCTCAACGGTAGTAAGGTCACATCTCAGATCAAGCCTTTCTCGAAGCCTTCTTCGGAGCCTTCCTACCCTCAATTACCTTCCTACTCTCCGCCCCCTCCCCAGGCACACCAAGCCCCACCAAATACGCCGCCCTCACAAGCACCGGCAGCACATTCAGCGAATTAGTAACAACATCCTTCTGGCTCCAGCTCCCCAAATCCAACACCCCCCTCGTCCCCATCTCACACCAAGCCGCATAGCAATGCCCCAAATCACACAGTATCAGCCCCAGCACAATCCACCACCACGTCTTCCGATCCTTCACAACGCGCATCAACACGCCCTCCGTGAAGGCGAAGAAGAGGTATGCGGATGCGAGCTGGTCGTACGCGATCTGGGAGTCGGGGTGGTACGCGGATGTGGACGGCATGAAGGTAAAGTATTCGGCGGGCGCCCAGTGGAGGTGGTATGTGCCGCCGAGGGCGAAGATGGGCTCGAGGTAGAGGTGCCAGAGGAGGTAGACGAAGGGCGTGTTTGGGGGCGCCATGGCGGGCTGCGTGGCTGCGGCGTGGGTAGGAGGTTATGCGTGGCGAGGCAGGGTTTGTGCAAGGGATGGTCGCTCGTTCCGTTGTGCTGGGTACAGTGAGGGTCTGGGATCTACGTGATGCGACGCGGTATAATGATGCGCTTCGTCCGTTTCTTCGCAGGATATGAATCGACTTATGCGACACCAGCGCGCTCTGGTGAACGATGTTGATGACGTAGCTGATGAGCCCGCAATGCGAGGGTTCCGGTCACAGGGACAAGGGCATGCCAAGTTGCGGAGCGCATGACCCTGCTACCACGGCAAGTAGCGGGCGGACGAGCAAAACGAGTCCGGAACATGCCAACACTGCAATCTACACTTGTTGGTAAACTGCCTTGTTGGGAAGTGTGGGCATGAAACGGACTTCCGGTGAAGATATGCTGATCGTCTCCCTTCGTTTCACGTCTGGCGTGGGTGCAAGTAACTTTTGGGTAACGAGGGATTAGAGGTCGAGAGTAGGTACTGGTAGACATGTCACGCGCGCGACTTACAGGCGGCACTGACAAGTCTACATGACAGCTTGGACAGGTGTAATAAAAAGACGTCAAAGCGGAGAAGCGCGGTATAGACAGTGGACGGTGTTGTAAGGTGATTACAGAATTAATTGACTCGCTCTTGGGCTCTATGGTCCCAGCAATGATGCGCATGGATCATCGAAATAGATTATAATAATACATATCCGCCCAAAAACACGAAACGCTCCAAGAATGTAAAACTCCTTTCCTCCAAGCTGATTTCGCCCTGTGCATGTAGTACCCCAGCATGCGCCGATGAGAGGATGCTACCTGTCTGACTCTTGTTGCCCGACACGTCCTGTGACTGACCGGTGCGTGTTGGCCCTTCTTATCTTACGACTTCGCGGTTTGTCGGATTTCTGGTTGACCAGGGACGTCGCTGAGCTCTGAAATCGCGCGCGAGTCGTCGATCAGGTTGTGGTGGCGATGCGCATCCCAGATGCGATTGTCCGACATGTTTGATGGACATGACATACCGCCTGACGGGTTGAAAGCACGGGTATGATGCAGGACGGCAGCGGACCCTGCAGGTGACAAAGGGTACCGTGGAACCTGGGGACCAGACCATTGCCCCGGGTCCACGACATCTTGTATTCCCAAATGCGTCCATCATTCCATCCTACCCTCTTGCACATACACGTTGTGAGGTCCCGCACCGCAGTGCAACGCGCCGCTCGCCAGCTGCGTGAACTTCGCTTCAACAACATCGACCAGGCAATGTTCAACAAAGTACCGCGCCGCGAGTTCATTCGCTGCCAGCATGCTCGGGCAAGTCCCTACGACCTTTGTATCCTCGCCCAGGTCGCGGTTCTTGCTGCTGACGACCACATGATACGCTGACCGGCCGTCGTGCGCCCGCGGAATCAGCTTCTGCGAATACAGGGCATCGCGCAGGGCGAGCGGGTATGTGCTGATGTCGCCGGGGACGATGGCGGGTTCGGGGCGGCGATGGACGAGCTGCGGTGCGGCGGCCTGGAGGGGAGGGGGCTGCGACGCCTGAGAATAGGGATGAGGCTGTGGGTATGCCTGAGGAGTTGGCGGCGCTGGGCCGCTGACTACCGACGAGGTAGGAGCCAGCCGCGGTTGCTGCTGCTGATGCCGGAGCAGGAAGTCGCGATGCTCGTCGAGTTGTTTCCGCAGGGCGTCGCTCGTGGTCTGGAAGATGCGCTCCTGGACGCCTGGCCCGAGGTTGCGCGAATAGTGTCGCAGGTCGGCGCTGCAGTCGAGCTGCAAAAGGCTGTGTTGGCGATCGAAGCCATGCGAACGTGCTGGTGCTGTTGCTGTCATTTTCAGAGGGGCGGTTTGCGCGACTGGACACGGTTATAGTAGATGGTGATGAAAATCTGATATGATGTGCATGACGCGGATATTCGCAAATCTTGGAAAGGCCCGGAGCCATTCCCTCCCGTATTCGCGTCTCCACGTGATCTGGCGTGGCAGTATCACGACGCGAAGTGTGTCTTATTGCTTTTGGGCTATTGTATCGAAAATTATTTTTGTTATACGTGTTGGTGCGTAGCTTTGCTACAGTACATCTGGGGCTTCTGCGCCAGAGCCATTCCTTGTACATGGGTGGTTACATGACGTCGTGAGATCGGTGGGCGTGAACATGAATAGAAACTGACGATGCTGCCGGGATACTCCTCCAACAAGATCGCGCCGAAACTCCATCAGTGCCCACCGTGAAACGCCATGCTAACAAAAAGGAATCAACCCACTATTAAAATCTCGTTAGAGAAACATCATACAACCAAACCCCTGATCGTCGTGTAAACATCGCCTAGGCGAAACCACCAACAGAACGCACGCGAGTGTTGTTACCGTTGCTAGGGGGCCATAACTCCGAATGTGGGACAATAATCTCACTTCACGAAGTTGTAGCTGTCGGGTTTGACAAGCCTCAGAATCCGCCGCCGAACGCATCGTTGGCCTCTTGCTGGAGGGCGTCGTAGTACTCGCAGAGGTCAGGGAAGGCCACTATGGTCTGCTTGACCGGGAAAGGAATGTCGCAGACAATCTTCTCCCAGTCCTTGGGACGGTTGCGCACGACGCGGATGAGCTCTTCCATGCAGTTCAAAGACATGCTGCACATCTTATGAGCCCATCCCATGTCCACGGAACCGTTGAGATGCGCTAGATCCTGTGTAGCGGGGTTGATCAGGATAGACCAAACGAAGTTCTCGTGAGTGGGAGACGGCTCTACGGGCGATGTAGCAGGCGTTCCTCCGTAGGCTGCACCCATTTGGAAGAAGCGCTCCCAGACCTGGTCGAAGAGGCTTGCGAAGGGGCTTGCTGGGACCCTGCTGCGAGAGTTTCCTGAGTCATACTGACCTTGACGGAAAGCCATCTCCTGTACAGCCAGATACTCGGGGATGTCGGTCATCGTGCGTGGAAATGCTGGCGCAGGGTTGACCATGGTGGATGGATGACGCTTGGACTTGCTGAACGATGCGTGACCGGATGAACGCCAGTTATCGGACCTCTGGCCTGTGTGAGAGATGCCACGTTGAGAACCAATGTCTTTGAGGTGGTTGGTCTTAGCGGACGCCATCTTCTGCGTGTAGTCACCGTACTGCTGAGTGCCCTGGGGTAAAGTGAACGATGGAGACGCAAGAGAAGGCGGCATATTTCCGTTGAATGTCATAGGATGAGCTCGCTGTGGAGTTGTTGGCTTCGTGTATGTTAGCCACAGTCCCTCGACATGCTAGGGTGAAGCGAAACCCACAAGCTGCTGCTTTGCGTGTGGCATCTGGTTGTTGACTGGTCCTCGAGAAGCATTCATAGGACGGCTCATGGCATTGGTGTAGCTGAGCTGCGACGATGATCCTCCCGAAACGGAATGTGAATCAGTGGAAGCGCTTCCATTGGATCCGTCTTCTGCCACAGTAGGCAAGGACTGCTCGTCCCGCTCGAAGCGCGGACGGAGTGGACTGCCATAGCCACCAGTAGGGCTACCGCCTATGAACCTACCCTTGGTGGGCGTAAGTGCCTCGAGGACTGTCAACAACAAGATTCCACAGAAGATGCAAGAGCAGACGAAAGAGAAGACGACTTACCTGAGGTGATGAGAGAGACATGACTTCCACAATCTTAGCAACAATGATGCGATAACAGCGCTATAGCGGGTGCGGATGGTGCGGATTTGGGGGCGACGCGACCGTGTGAGCGTGGTGCGGTGGCGGAGGGAAGAGGATGGACGCGGCGACGAAAGGCCTCGCCAAGCTGACAGCTTGAGCAAACAGGCTTCTAAGAGATTCAGTCGCGATAAGGTGAAAGTGAGAGCTCAAAGTGGGGCCCCGGACCCCAGATTCTCGTCGTGCCTTCTGCTTTGGTGGTCCGCGTGGTGAAGATGAGTCCACGTCCGGAAGGGGAAAGAGCGAAACCATGACACTGGCTTGCCGTTAAACCAGAGGTTTGTTACAAAGTTCAATTTAAAGTTGGTATAACGCGGAAATCTTCTTGGGCATGTCGAAAACTATTGTTCTTATTATAAAAAATCACGACGTAGTGTGGAACCATAAGGACGAGAGTGCGCACATGCGACCTCAGCACTATAAACATGAAGAGAAAGTGCAATGCGTTTCATACTGAACTTGTGGGAGTAGGGCTTAGAACAGTGGAATTTCGACCTTGCAAGGCAGAGTAATCCCGGAGATACGCGCGGTGATTGAGACAGAGCGACAGATGGAGACTGGACTGCTGGAGAGTTTTGGCAGAACGAGAGAGGAGCATCCGTGAGATTTAAGTAAAAGCACAGTACGTGCAAAGAGAATCAAACCCCCAAGGATATGTAACATCGGCTATTCCTGAGTGAGTCGGCATTGCAAGAAAATTCTACCTCACCAAGGCCGATCGGCTATATGGCATATGCCTCTAACGTCGGCGTGATATGAGTACAGCAAGCCACTACGATATTACCGACCTTATAGTTAATATGAATACCAACACTGGCTACGCGCAATTGATCACACGAGCACAAAGAAATTGCTTGTAGCCGAAACCATCGTGTGCTGGGACCTTGCTGAGCTTTGCAATCTATCGCAATATGACTTCTTCAAAGACCTGCGTTCTGGAAAGAACCACACTGGGCGAACGATCTTTATGTGCGAGATGACTGTCACAAGTCTTGACGTTTTCGACGATGATGTAGTGGCGTCGAAGGGCCGAAGAAGCCGGAATCGTCCGACGAGCATGCGCGACCAATCACGGGTTGGCAGTTGTCATAACCGAGGAAGCTTGAGTGGCGCCCTGGCGCTACAACTTCGATGATAGCAACACTTTGATCTTTAAGCCCCAGCCCGCACTCTCCACTCCACACCACACACAATGGCCTCCACACGCGCTTTCACCCGTCTGGCTACCCGGAGAATTGGTACGTACACCGTCCAGTGTCACCGCGACAGCTGAGCACTGCTAACGCTCTTCGACAGCCGTACGGCCGGCAGTTTTCTCCCGCGGCTTCGCCTCCGTAAACGACGTTCACGCCCGCGAGCCCATCTCCAAGACCGCCGAAAAGATTGTACCCAATGCGTCGCGATCGCCCATCCCAGAGAGCAAGACATCGACGATTGAGGACCCCGAGGCCAGCGCAGATGCGAAGACCAAGACCTTCCACATCTACCGATGGAACCCAGATGAGCCGACCTCCAAGCCCAAGATGCAGTCGTACACGCTCGACCTGAACAAGACCGGACCCATGATGCTGGATGCGCTCATCAGGATCAAGAACGAGGTGGACCCCACTTTGACTTTCAGGCGGAGTTGTCGCGAGGGTATTTGCGGAAGTTGTGCCATGAACATTGACGGAGTCAACACCCTGGCATGTCTCTGTATGTGGAATCGCACCTTATGAAGGAATTTGGAAGGCTAACAGGTCATGACAGGCCGTATCCCCACCGACACAACCAAGGAATCTCGCATCTACCCGCTCCCCCACATGTACGTTGTCAAGGACCTCGTGCCGGACATGACGCTCTTCTACAAGCAATACCGATCAGTCAAGCCATACCTGCAGCGCGACACCGCCGCACCAGACGTACGTACACCCTTGGAAGTCGGCCAATAGACATCTGCTAACAATATCTCAGGGCCGTGAATTCCGCCAGTCCAAGGAGGACCGCAAGAAGCTCGACGGACTCTACGAATGCATTCTGTGCGCTTGCTGCTCGACTTCGTGCCCGTCCTACTGGTGGAACCAGGAGGAGTACCTCGGCCCCGCTGTCCTCCTCCAGTCCTACCGATGGATCGCAGACTCGCGAGACGAGAAGAAGGCCGAGCGCCAGGACGCCCTTAACAACAGCATGAGCTTGTACCGATGCCACACCATTCTCAACTGCTCAAGGACATGCCCCAAGGGACTTAACCCTGCGCTGGCTATTGCCGAGATCAAGAAGAGCATGGCTTTCACATAGAGTGTATTTGGATCGTTGTAGTAGAGGGGTAGAACCATCGCATCTTGTTTGCTGGATGAACCTGCGATTTTGCGCAGAAGTTGATATTCTTTGAGCCTGATTTGTACTTTTTGAGATGTATATGCAAACAAATTCAAGCAATTACTTCAATTATGTCTATGCGGTTTATACGAAGTGGGCTGTTTCTTCGAGCTTGTACTTCACGAAACTTGGAACTTTCATGAGGCTTTCGTTGTGAGTATGCTAACACATGTGCAGATTGTTAGAGAAATAAACATGACGAATTACGTCTTGTACGGTACCATCAGGATAACCCGATATCGTTATTCTCTACAAACAAGTCCGTGGTACTTTTCCATCATGCTCGATGTCATTACCCTTATCCAACACCCTCATATACTGGTTATTCAGAATCATTCCCTTCCGAGTCATGTTCCCAGGGGTTCTTCTTGGGAGCAGGATCGATCTCATACATCATCCACCCACTGAGCGACTGCAGCGAATCCAGCTTCTTCTCCTCTGCCCCAGCACCGGAGTCATTGCTGCTAGTAATCTCGATACCCAGCGATCCAGCGACCATCTTCGTCTTGTACTCTGTACCATTGTCGTTCACCAACACAGGCACAGAAGCAAAGCCACTCGGAATATCATCAGTGTCCACCCGATGATACGAAACTCCGTCCAATTCCAACAGCTGTTTATCGGATTCATCGACGTTCCAACTCTGCGTTCCTGTCTTCAGATTATACATGCATTTCCCCTTGTCGTCCCAGAAGCAGAATGCCGTTAGCCAGCCTCCCAGATATGACGGTCCGCTGCCCCCGCCGGAGCGATGGGCGATCTTCTGCCAGAAGTCGCGGGAGGCAACGGCCTGCTCCGGATCGAAAGTTGCGATGAAGTTGCGCAGAACAGGGCGAAGCAGATCGGCGAATGTACTCGCTTCAGGACCCAATTCAACGAGTTTCTCCAGCCTGGCGAGGATATCTTCGTAGTCCTCGCGTTCACCCAGTAGAGTGACAGAGGGAATACCACACATAATACTCATTTTGTACGAGAAATACGCCTGCATAGTGCCCATCATGAGTACCGCAGCTGTTGTGCGGTCGCTGACTGTGGTCGTGCTGAACGCAGGCATGATCCAATCGCGCAGATCGGGGTCCTTGACATTCTCCTGTATGAGTCCTGTCATCCGTCGAGCTAAGGCACCGATGTCCACGGAGTGAATGCTGCCCACGTCTTTGACCTCGAGCTCTTTCTGTCCTTGGTGCGAGACGAAATGATCACGTAGGGCTTCGGCATTGGCGTTGATGTAGAAGTTGAGTTGTGAGAGAATTGCGAACCATACGTCTTCCGGGCGGATGGTGAGATGGTGGTGGTAGCTGTATGCATCGAAAGCTGCGTGGACGAACCCGTTGTTCGAGCCCACAACGCATGACTTCTGGAGTTCATCGGCGGAGACCGAACTCCGGACTAGCCATTTGCAGGCCTGGGAGTCTCGTTCACTGGTGCGTGCGAGGAGCTTTTCTGGGGTGTCGACGTTGTAGGTTCGGCTGCGTGAGCTTTTGGAGTCGTGGTCTGCGACTGTGAGGGTGGTTGGCATGGTTGCAGGAGTACGTGATGGATGATTTTGACTTTGGACTTTTGAGATTATTCTAGGATGAGAAAGATGTGCGGTCTTTCATGTAGCTACGTTCGACTTTAATATGCATGCCCAGGTGCCGTGTGAGCTTCAGGCTGCTGCTGCCTAGGTATGCCTAGATCAGCCGATGTTTGTGGATTGGTGCCTTCCAACATCTCGATGCGCGTCTGCGCAGTTGCTCAACGCTTCGCGGGGTAATCGCGTCCCTAATCTTCAACACCTCAATTTACTGCGACAGAGACCTATCCGGTGCAATAATATTCAACACAGTTGTCATAGCCGATTGCAATACAATTACGGGACCATCATTAGGTCCATCGGCAGCTTGGTGCCCCGCCGAGAGAATCGACCAGACGATGCCGTCCTGCAGGTGGCTACCAGTGGCCAATGATCTCGACTGAGAAGCAGCGACTGCGCATCTGCGCTTTCCCCGCCACAATACGACTGACAGCGTGCGAAAAGCAGGACATCAGGCTGCACTCTGACCAGCATAGCCAAGCATGTGGCGTCACAGCAGAGGAACCTCAACGACACGGCCGATCCAACGTCTACTGCAACAGCATACCTCATACAGCGAGTATCGAGAATGTCTAGCTCTAGTTCGTTAGCTCTTCCAGGAGCAACCGGAGGAGATAGACCATTGCCTGGAACTTCGGCGGAGATCGCACCAGATTGCTTGTACCACACGCTTCCTACCCCACTCTCTTTTCGCCTGATGAAGATCGTTGCTGTCTTTCCGTATCTCAAATGCGAGATGAAAACGGTTTCGCCGGATGAACACATTCCGTCGTATCAAGCTCTCAGTTACTGTTGGGGTTCTCCAAATCAAAGCGTCACTTTACGATGCAACGGGTTCAAGCTGAAAATATCATCGAACCTGGCAGAAGGGCTGAGGAAGCTACATGCGTACTCGGTGGAAACAGGATGGAAAACATCTGGGTGGTTCTGGGTCGATCAAATTTGTATTGATCAAGAAGACAACGCCGAGCGTACCCAGCAAGTTCGCATTATGCGATCTATCTATAAACGAAGTACGCACACCATAGTCTGGCTTCCGGTCAAGAACGGTGAGTGTTCTCTGCCAGGGTCTCGGAACATGTCAAGTGGTATTTGATTGCCCCGTCTCTGCGACATCATGATAGTACCAAAATCTTGCCAACAGTTACTGACAGCTTAAAGAGATTGCTAAGGCCGCAAACAGCATTATTGATGCTACGCTTTCCTACATCTACGATGTCGACGCTCAACTACCGTCACTGGATGATAAAAGATGGAGTGCTTTAGCTCAGCTACTGGAGTCACCATGGTTCGAGCGCTGCTGGATCCTACAAGAGATGGCAGTGTCCAGAGGATGCCCCGATATGCTTTGCGGTAATCAACGATTATCGTGGTCGGATCTTCAGAGAGCTATAGAGTGGCTAAACGATTCTGGCGGCAAGTATCGTACAGAACGCATGGAATTTGTCAAAAGTATCCAGGAAGTCATCTGCAGACACCAACCACATCCCATCTTATTCGGCAGACACCACTGGATCTCAGGACAGGAAGACAATCTCTCTCACCTATACGTCCTGCTACGCTTGACGAGCTCATTCCGATCTACCGATCCAAGAGATAAAGTTTTTGCGCTTCTCGGGCTTAGCAGCGCAAGTCGAGATCCGGAGAACTGGCCGGAAGAAGTAGCACCTGACTATACAAGGTCGATGTTCGAAGTATACGCGGGTGCCGCGAAGTACTGTATCCGGCAAACCGGCAGCTTAAGTATCCTTTCGCAGTTCGTCCACAACAAGCCGGCAGAATCTACTTCACCGTATATACAACTCCCTTCCTGGGTACCGAGATGGAACCTTGCGGATTCTACACGCCGCATCAGTACATTTTCTCTGCATCAGGACCCTGATGGGACTCGCATTCTCAAAGAAATGCCCCACACAGCATCCATGGATACTGGGGTTGAGATGGATCAAAATACCCCATTGGGCGTTCTTCGCTTATTGGGTATGCGGATCGACACAGTGAACATGTGTTTCCCTACGGTAATGCTAGATAATACCAAGTTCCAGGCAGGAGTACCAGAGCGTCATGGAGATTATCTGTCGAACCTTCTCCCGCAGTTGTACAGGATGTGTAAGAAGCACGTTAAAGACTTCACGCATTCATTCGACTTCACGTTCTTCATGGTAACCACTGCAGGTCTGGCGCCTTGTTACGGGGATTTTCGATCGTCAGCTCGATCTAACGCGCAGCGTGATTTCAGGTCCATTGTCAATTCTCCGCAAGAAGAATCGGCAAAAGGACAAACACCCTTATCAAATACAAAGGACCGGTCTCCCAGGCATTCGACTGAGGTATGCCCTCCATCACCCAACAGCTCCAGGGAACGCCAAATAAACAGCTACATCGCATTACTCCAACGACTGATGAACAGACGCCTTTTCATCACTTCATCGGATACTCTTGGTCTAGGACCAGCAGGCATGATGTCTGGAGATACAGTTGCGATCTTGTTCGGCGGAAACGTACCGTACGTACTAAGACCTTCGGAGGATGGCCGATGGAATTTCGTTGGTGAGTGCTATTTGGATGGATACATGAATGGCCGAGCAATGGCGGGTAGAAGCTATGCGAGAGATGAGTGGTTTGAGCTGGTGTGAACGACAACCAGGCTTCCGCGTTGGATATAATGCATGGTTCGAGACGGGAGCGAATGGAAAGAGGTAGGTTGCCGGAAGCAGTAAGGAAAGAAAGAAAAAAGCAGACGATCGTGTCCGGTGTGTGCTAGCCTGTTCTGCAGTAAAGCATGCAGTAAGACTGAACTTGGGTTCGCAGATGCTTTAGCGAGGGGAGCTAGAAGAATCAAGGCGGTGACGAGGCTGTTTGCAACGGTCTGCATCGTCGAAGCATGATGATGAATGGAAGCTTCCTTCGCGCAGGCAATGAGACGCATGGTGTAGATTGAGCAATGCCATATTTGTTGATTGTCGCGCGGCCCGCTCTATCAATGAAGCTTCACTGAGCCATCTTCAATGTTAGCTATTAGTTCAGAGAAAAATAACGCGAATTGCTCAATGGGTATTTGACTTGTTCATTATTACCACGAAGCCCTCTCAAAGAGGCATTCGCACCACAGTGCCTCCCCAGCAGGGTCAGCCCGTGTTATCCTATACGCGAATATTCAAACACATTATACACAAGCTCTTTGCCCGGTCCACATAACAGCTCTTATGACTTTCGTATCGGGGGTCATGTCTTGTCCGCCTTGAAATCGTACTGCTCGGCTTCGCTCCAACTTCGAATCAAAGGGGGTATCTTATGCCATGCCTTTGCCAGCTTGCCTCTGTGGTGGGTGTTAGGAGGCTGTATGGGAGAAAGAATTGGGTGGTTGGGGTGGTTGGGAAAACGTACCTTCTTGTTGATGAACATGGCAATGACGAGGATGGCGACGAGGAAAACAATGACGAAGACGACAATGACACCGGGCTCACGCTGGGCCCAGTTCTTGTCGCGCTTGGCGAGCTGGTGGAGAGCGTACTCGGCGCGAGCGGCGATGGGCATGCTGATGGCGGCCATTGTGTTTGTTTGTGGGTTTCTGGGGTGGAGATGTTAGAAAGGTTGTTCGTACGAGCAGCTATGAAGACCTGGAAGGATTCCCGGAGCTGGAGAAGCACAGGCCAGGCGCATTGGGCGCGTGCGATTCACTCCCAAGAGAGGTCTCGAGCGTAACGATCTTCGGCCAAGGCTTGTCGCGAGACTGGTCCCGATGGCGGTGATGCGATGCGATGCGACACGACGCGACAGGATGCGACAACGTGACGCGAACTCTCCCCGGCAGCTCCAGAACAAGGCGGCATTGAGCTTACATTTACGAATTGAATCGGTCCACTGTTTGAATATCGAGCTGAGGGAAGCTTTGTTTTGGCTGTTGATGGCAACGGAAGCTGGTCAGCGCGATCGGATCAAACCCACGGAAACGGTCGCTAGGCAGAGGGACTCGGCGATGTTTAATTGAAAGGCGCAGGTCGACAGCGATGCAGCATCAAAGAGTGAGAACGAAAAAGCTCTTAATAGCAAGAGGGTGAATGTCCGCTTTTAAATGCGCCGGCTCGCCGAAAATTTCTGCACAGTTGATGAGGCATTTTGTTTGGCCCCGGGTCCTAGCGGGTTGTCCGGGAGGCTCCAAGCTTGCAAGGGTGGGTGCAGCGTCGCTTCGGCCGGGGAATGGGCGCGGGCCTGGAAGGAGGGAGTAGGGAGCGGTACTTACGTCTGAGGCTCGTCCGAGTGGGTAATGGATAGTGGGCGCTGGGGGATGTTGGAGACTCGGGGCGAGGAGCAGCGTGAAGAGTAGATGAAGGTTGGGTCGGGCCTAGCAACCACCCGCGAGGGTTGAGGGAGCTAGGAGGGAGCTACCCAGTGCAGCCAATGGCGCGACATGCCATCATTTCGTCGTAGATGAGCCGACGATCGCAGCCTCACGTCGGAGATACTCACGTTCTGATGTGTAGTCACTATCTGCTAGTTGCCTGTCACGAGAAGAGCCGCTTTAGAGCTTCACCGGTCGTTGATACCAAGCCATCCACCGTAGCACTCCCAGCACTCCCCATGAACCTCTCGCTCGCGCCTCCACACAGTTGCCCAGGTGCGTCTGGCGCTGCAAGCCGCTGACGCTACTCGTCGGCTCCACTCAGCCAGCACCCCTGCCACCTCTAAACCGTTCTTGTGCGGCAGAAGCAGCATCGATGTCATCGCCCATTGCTTATCGTCCATGACTGATGAAGGCGGCGCGAACCCACCTGCACCCTCGGATATCTCGCCAGGGCCGTTTGACACCAGCCGAACCGTGGGCAGCATCAACCGGGCAACAGCAGGCCTAGCGCACCGGAGCCAAAAACAACGCACGTCAATAATGCCTCATTTCCAGACGCTGGCTTCGCGTCGACAGGGCGACGCGCTACGCCGATAGCGCCCAGGCAGACTGGAGACGCGTGGGGTGGCCTTGGTAGCTCAGTGCCGGGATCCTCACTAAGCTTCTGCTGTGCCTGTGCCCCCGCATCTTGGCGAAGCATGGCACACGAGCCCTACACGGCCTTTGAAACGCTGCAGAGCATCACCATGTCACAGGCACCATCAGCAGAAGCAAGTGGCGCGAGCTGCACGCGGGCCTTGGGACGTCTGAGTTGTGTTGCCGCGTCCGCTATCGTGACGCTGCCCGTACTGCCAATATTGTTGCTATCCGGGATCGTGGAATAGCGTCGCCACATGACTCGGCGCCCATGTGACCGCCGTCGCTGTTGGCATAAATCCTTATTCAGCCCATCATAACCACCGCAATGTGCAGCCAGCCATCGAGATATGCCGTCGCGCGCACCAGCTCCTCCACACTCGCGCTCAGCGGCAGCACCGCTCCGTGCAACACGGCCTGCGCCAGCAGCGGACTGCGTCTGCTCGGAAATAGTGTCGGCAATATCGCGTTCAGTGCTGTCCCGATGGTCTGTGGTTGCCCTGTCTGCCGTCAGCGCCTTCCACACCTACACCGCAATTACACCTACTAGACGACAGGTTCGGCGTCACCAGCCTCTGCACTACTCTCAAACTCCCGGGTGCCGTCTCTTCTTGCACCCCTTCCGACGACGCGTGTGGGAGATAGAGCCGCACTGGTAGATGTCTCAGGTTGACTCCTTGCGGGTTCAGCAGCTTCTGGTTGATGGGGTTGTACACCGCAAAGTCGTGGTTCTTCACTCCGCTCCAGAGCTGCGTGCTGTCTTCTTTGCTTAGAAACATGACTGTCTTTCCTGTTCCTGTCCTGAGGTAGTCGGCCTCCTTCACGCTGTGGATGAATAGGTCATGCATATGCTTGTCGTCATTATCAAGCAGAACGAGCTGCTCGGACGGGAAGTCGGAGAAGTGTACTGTGAGTCGCCATGGTAAATGTTGACGCTCTTCCTCTGTATTCTCGATCTTGTGCGCTTGCTCAGCCTCCGTATCCGTGGCTGAAGGATACGCCGGCTCAGCGCCAGAGTAGAGGTCGTAGAGAAGACCCAGTGGATAATGCCATTTCAGCGGCACGTCTTCGTAGGATAACCATGCGTCTTTGGGCGTGACATCTGGGTAGATGAGGCTGCGTGCGAAGAAGGCATGCAGTTTGTGTATGAGCAGCCCGAGATATGATATGCGTGGAAATTGTATCTACCTCTCGTCAGCCATAGCTCATCTGATGTATCATCGCCAGACTATGTCGACACTGCACGTACTAAGTAAGGATCCGACTCGTCGTACGTCCTACAGTCGCCCTTGTGCAGGCGTATCTCGAGCGGGATACTGCCATTCCAAGTGCTCTGGCGCAGTCTACTCGCAACGTCTCTCTCAGCCATGGGCGCGAAGCATCCGAGATGGCAGATTCGCCAGCCGCCGTTCTGGTAGCCTAGGCGCAGCTGAGCTGATGGATAGTGGGGTAGGTCGCTGCGTAGGCAAGGCGGAAAGGCGCGTTGATGGCGGGGTATGCAGGGGAGCTTGGGCCTGACGTGCAGGAAACCCTGGGTCTTTTCGCTCGTGCGTGCGTCTGTCTCTGCGACCACCCCAGACCGACTGTCGTAGGAAGATGGGCGCTGGTCGTGTCTTCTTCTCCACCCACAACGCATGTATGACGTGACGCCGTAGATGGGTGACTTACTTACGCACGACAGCTGGACCATGGATGTGGCTCTTAGCCGCAAACGCTCGCGCCTGACTGTTGACGAGGACGAGGACGAGGTCCAGCGGAGGAGGGAGCCGTCGCCAGCTCTGCCGCCATTGGGCGATGCGTTGAAGAGGTCCAAGACACAGTGCGAGCTGGAAGAGCTAGATGTTATAAGTCCGGAGGAGGCATGGAGCGTGGATGTGGATGCGATACTGGGTAGCAGTACGCTCGCGACTCCTGTAGGCAGTATGCTGGAAGCGCATGATAACTGGGCAAGGTATAAGAGGCAGGCGTCTATAGTTGTTTTGTGCGTGCAAGGGAACGTTCAGGTCCATTACGACCTGCTTTGGTAAGATCATCCTGGACCATTTCAAACTACTACTAACAACCCACAGCTCCGCTCTACCAGACCTCTACGCGCTCTCGCCCACCCTTCAGCCCTTCGTCCTCTGCCACGACCCCTCGACACATAGACTCCCCTCCTCCGCGCCCTTCTCGCTACCCTTAATACAAGCCGCGACTCCGTCGAACAACCACTTCGTCCGCTTGGGCTTACTACATCCCCTTGGTGGAGGCAAATTTCCATTAGACGCACTCGTCGTGCTGGATAAGAAGGGTAGAAGGAGGTTAGTGCTGCCGTTTGGCTGGGGTGCTGGTAAACATGCGGACACACCTGCTGGACGGAGTATACAGCTAAGGTTGATGGCGTTGCTAAGGAGTTGTGTCGCGATGTTAGAACAGGAATAATGAATGATATTGTGGATATGATGGTAGCAGACAGATATTGTGAGAGGGCTATAGGGATCGTGATGGAGCAGCGTGATGACTTTCAAGATGTTTCATTGGATGTGTAGAACTACATGAACGCCATCCTCCTGCTATCCTCTCGAGTATCATCGCGACACAGACTACCCATGGACGCCTATGCCTCGAGGGTCTCCGCGTCATCGAACCCCTTGATCTCCTCCATGACAGATCTAGCTTTACTATGGATGATATTGAGGTAAGTCGGCAGATATCCCTCAGTGGTAACCATCAGAGTTCCGTACACAGGATTGCCATCGAAGTCTTCTTGATGCGCAACAATATGAGTAGCGAAGGCGCACATGACCTTCTGATACTGTGGCACCGACAGTGCCTTGTTGCAGAAATCCGGGGTGAAGATCTTGTGATGCTCGACCAAGTTCTTGAGCTGTTGCACTGTGAGTCCTTCTCTGGCAAGGGCTCCTCTCATGAACTTGAAAGCAAAGCTTTGGAGGACGTCCATGCCCATCTCTGTCGCGCAGAGATAGACTTGCAAGTGGAATTCGAGTGTAGTTGGACCGTCAAGATTGTCTTGCGGGGCGTCTTTTATCGGTTCGGTGACAGAACTGGCAATGATCATGACAACCGTGGGACTGTAGTTCTTGGTCGGGAGCTCCGCGAGATTGGTTTCGTACTACATTCCAGTTAGTCAAATGGCCTGTGAAGATTTTGCCACCAACTCACATTGTTCTGAAGCCAGGAAGACACTGCGATCGCCATTTCCGTGGGTACGGTGAAGGTGGTCACACCGTCAGAGCAAGGGAGAGGCAACATTTGCTTCACCGCACTGAGTCGCTGGTCGCGGAGCCTATAGAAAGGTAAGCGACAGTAATGTTGTGGGTGTCCGTGGGAAGGCCAGCTTACTTCTTGTGGAGCTCACTGCTGTGCATGTCCATCTCGGCGACTGATAATTCACCGAACGCGTGATGCAGATAGTCCACATCGGCCTTGATGTTTCCTGTTCTCATCATTTCATCTTGAACGGTAGCCGGCTGCAGCTTCTGTGTTCCCGACATCGTATCCGGTAGAGCGCCTAATATCTCGGGCTGTGAAGGCTCGTCGATAAGGGCTATTGGGCAAGGGCGTTCTCAGCTGGCGCAAGCGGTTGTCGGAGATGGAGATGCGGAAGCAGGTACTCACGTTAGAGGTCACCGTGTTCTGGTTGCCTAGCTAGCGCCATATCGCTGTTTGCTTGACCCTGGAAGAGCAATCAGAGGGAATGGCGGCGAAGGCCGTGGACTGCGATGCTGCGATGACGTACCTGATGGGGTGCTGCACATTCACTTTGACGATCTGATCCTACCGAGCGCGCGAGATGGCCGCTCAAGCGCCCTGAAATAAGTGAAGCTTGTACCGCCTACATGATAGTCGAGGAGTCTCATTCCATGCACACTACGTATGCTGGGAGTATCTCAGCTAGAACTGCAGTCTCAAAACAAGAGGTATAACAGACTTTGAAGTATACAATCTTCATGTACCCGTCTTCGGGAGAGCAGGTATGGACTACAAAAGTCTACACAGACTCATGGGCTGAGACCCCATCACCTACAAACGTCGCTGTCACTGCCACGCCCCTTATTCCTCCATGCGATCCTCGGCCTTAACGCCATCGTCGATCTTGGCGCCATCGTCGACCTTGACGCCATCTTCTCCATCCCCAGACACGTCAGTCATGCTGGTATCTTCCTTCTTCTTCTGACCACCGGTCTCATCTGATGTGCTACGGGCAGAGGCAACGGGAGCGAGGACGGGAACCTGAGGAACCTGCCTGATGGTATCCCCTTCATCGAAGCTGAACTCGATACGTGGGACCTCGGTGTTGTCGTCCATGCCGTGGTCAGATGAACTGACCAGGGGAATGAAGGTAGACTCGTCGGCATTCTCATCGGCGGAGATGTTGTTCTCGGGGAGAGCGTGCTCAGTAGTATCTTGACGGTCGACTTTGGTCTGATCCCTAGTCGGCTGATCACCTCCTTGGTTGCGCGCAGTTCGCGGAGCAACGGGACTAGGACCTTGTGGACTATGAGAGGCGAACGGGGGATTGAAGTCATCGTAGAGACTCGGTCCATCGATATCATCAGAGCCATCGGCCTCACCGCGGACTGTCTGGCTCCGTCGTAGGCTCGAGCCTGGACGAGGGGTACGCAGGAGACCTGATGCCGGCTTCATGGGGGTCGAGGCTGCCTTCTCACCTTGAGACGCCTTGGATCCGCCCATAGACTGCCAAGACCTGTCCAGCTCAGATGGCGTGGGTGTAGGCGGCAGTGCTTTGTTGGTATGAGTGGCCGAGCTTCCATGGTCCCGACGACGGGGGGTAGGCGAATCGCTGTGGTCCTCGACAGTAGGTTGGTAGGTATTGCTCGAGCCAGGACGCTGGAGAAGAGGACTGCTGATATGTCCACGCTGAACTGGTCCCGAACCGACGGTACGCGACTTGGGCGAGCGCGTGTCAGGAGTAGAATCAGTCAACAGTCGCTTCCTGCTCGCTTGGTGTCGGCTTGTGGGGTCGGGGGCGATTATGCGCTCCGGGATATCATGTTCGAGCTTGTATCCTTCCAAGTCTCGCTCGGCCCTTGCCTCGTATATCGCATATCGTGGTGTCCCGAGAAGGTCAAGGTACTTCGTATCGTCTTCTTGCAGCCACACAGAACGCCGCATTGCTCCATAAGTCGCGATCGCGTGTAGGATCTCTTCTTTGGTGTTCTCCGACGGGTCGTAAAGCTTGTATTTCTCCACCATGTTAACCAACTCCTCGGCGGTAGGTCGGTCCTTGCGGAGAGTCGTCCAGAACTTCTTAGCAGCCGGGGCTTGGAGCTGCGAAATCTCCATCCTCTTCGCGCAAACATAGACCTTGAGGTGAAGTTCTGTTGGTGTCTCTTCTACCCGTACGGTGATACTGTCGTCTCCGGTACCGAGCTGAGCTTTCTTGAGGTGCGTCAACTTGTAGTTTGCTAGCTCTTGGGTGTCGTCTAGATGGTAGTCGGCGTCGAGGATGTATTGTACTATCATCTCAACCACGATGTACTCGTAGCCATCCATAGTGACAACGGAGTCGGTGTTCTGTGGATCTTCGACCTATTGAAGGATTAGTCTAGGCTTCTAAGGCGGTGCGAGTCTATTGTGCATAAAGTCGTGGAAGTGAGCGGTTTGCAGGGCTGGAACTAACCTGGGTTCTGAACTTCCTCGACAAGACTCCGGCGGACTCCCTGGGTAGAGTACAAGTAGCGCTCTCGTCACCCAGCTTAGCAACAAGGGTCACGGTACTGAGTGGGTTTGTTACGAATTCGCGACGATACCTGCTTTTGTCAGTGATATACTCATGCAGTCGACATGCGCTTTACAGTACAAGTTGTAACACTCAAAAGGCATCGGGGAGGCCTTCGAAGCCGACAGCTGGCCAAACTCAACAGCCATCATCTCCATGTGAGCACCGCGGACGCGCTTTGTCGACACCAGTGACTGAGCCTCATCGCGTTTAGACTCCGCGGCGTATCCACCGTCGCTCTGATTGAGGTCCTGGCTAGCCATGTCGTCTCGTGAGCCTGCCGAAGATGTCCGTAGAGGCTGCGTCGTAGTACAGGTAGGGTTTAGACACGTAGCAGCAGGAAGCGATGGGACTGTGTGGAAAGACAACGAGCGCCTCTACTAGCGCTAGTGTCGGTGCGGTCACCTGCGTAGGCTCCAGCAAGCGGGAGTGGGGTGTGGTGGAGTCATAAGTGGTTTGAGCCTTTCACTTTCTGTGTGTTTGCAGTGCGTGAGCACAGCTGACGTCTGATTAACATGTACAAATAACTATCAATTGTCGAAAACTTTGACTCCTTTCTCTGAATTACTTTCTACCTGAAGATGAGCACCCGGATGGTAGAAGTACGCAAGTCGCTGACTGTGATGTATGACTTAAGTCTGCCAAACTGAGTCAATGTAAGTATTTTTTTGCGCACACCCAAGGCCAGGGGTTCGGTTCTGTGCTTTATCAACATCTTTTTGCTTTTAATGCGCTTTGTGGCGAAAGTGAAAGGACAAACGTGGTGACTTTGCGGCCTGCTAAAGTGGGGCTTGTCCGGACGTTGCTAACGCTGCCTTGATATCGTCCTGCTGGCGCTTCCACACCAACGTCTCTATCCCTTCGCTCAAGGATAGAGCTCAATCGTTACTATGGCGAATCGATCTCCGCAGCCAGGGCCTAAAGGCGAGATCTCGAAACCGGATCCTGCAAAAGCACTAGTCAGTGAGGCATCGCTACCCATCACGTCTTCAGGCCTGAGTGTACAGCCAGAGCATGAGGGCCACGCGGCTGCCAAACGCGAAACAAGCATGGACCAGAAGATTTCAGATACGGAGTTGCGTTCTCACGAAGCGCAACCGCGCATGATGGACCCTACAGATCCAGTCAGAGATCTAGCTCGCGTTGCGAATTGCAACCCGGACAAACGCGACGGGAAGGAGGCTATGCGAGCAGGTGGGATATTCGACACCATTCAGAAAGCACGGAGGCTGACTTGATAGACGGCGGCTCTCGCACCCGGACAAACGCTGTTCAAATAGAGCTAGTGACTTTGGAGGCCCTCCTGGGCCACGTCTTCGAAGGCAAAAGCGCCAGACTGCCACAAGCGCAACTAATCTGTGCTCAGTAAGGTCTGATCACGTCTTGGTCGTATATGCGCTGATAAATTGTAGTCATAATCAAATGCTCCTTGCTAAGCGACTTGGTTGCGACTTCGCATTCGTTGTAGATGGTGTGTCGTTCGATGTCCATTCGGGGTTCTTGGCTACTGGCTCGGAGGTATTAGAGGAGTATGCTTTTCCTGCCGATGTAAGTTCAGGACTGGCTCAAATGAACGGAACGAGTACTCACGGTAATTAGGGTACACAAAGTCGCCCTACCTGGAAGTACGAGTTCGACGCACGAGTACACAGTCCTATGATGGTCGACCGCCTCTTGGAATTTATGTACACCGGAACATATCAACTCGATAAGGGCGGACGAGCGACGCTTTTACATCATCCGACTAGCCTACCCATCGGTAAGACTAAGGCCAGCTATCCCATGGAACTGGAGGGTCCGATAGCCTTCCATATGAAGATGTACAAAATGGGCAAGACCTTACGGTATCAATCCTTGGTAGCGGTCGCGCATACAAAGATGGCAGAGCATATGCTCTTGAAGATGCAGATCGACGTGGGAATGGCTAAAATCCTCGTTAACTGGATATATGGCTCAACTGAGATGGCACAAGATATAGCTGAGCAGCCCAACGATACTTTCGGGGATGACAACCTGAAAGAACTGGTCGTAGCGTGTATCCTGCGACACGTCCATCAGAAGATCTGGGAAGAGGAGGAAGTGGAAGGGCTCAAACACCATGCTCGGGCATATCCCGCTTTGGAAGTGGATTGGGAGCTTGCCGAAGATGAGTACAAAGACGTGCTGAAGACGCGACCAGAAACTAAGAGGGCGGCGAAGAGGGCGAGACGAGGACAGCAACATCAGCAGGAGGTTGCGAAGATGCTCCAGCTCTCAGAGGGGCCTCACCATCTGTAGACATGATTGTGGCATCGGAAGCTGCGAACTCCCGCATCTTGTCTCACAGTTGCGATACTTCCGGCTGAGGAAGCCACGAGGTGACGATGCGTAAAGAGTAGGGTGGCGGTAGCCGGAAGACAGGTTGCAGGGCTATTGCAGGGCATTGGAGCGTGTGTTCGATCTATTACGTAGCATAGCCGTAGAGAATTTCCCCAATGGCCGTGTTGCTGAGATGAAGCGTGATGCGTGGATGCAGGAGGTGCGAGGGACGTCTCCGTGAGGGTAGCTGGCGACTAGCGTGCTTCCCCACCCTGTCGCGATGGCATTTGTGGGCGCGTCTCTGAACGGTTGATCACCTCTCCAACGAACATGTGAATATCCACGTCGACCATCTATTGAAATGAGGTCTAACAATGATAGCTCCCTTTTCTGATACGAAGGCCCGAAAGTTGCGCGTGAAGATGCCATTCTGTCCGCTGCAACGCGTCCCAGCAGCCTCGACGCGTCAATTCTGCGTGTATTCGCGATCTCATTTCGCGATAATCCGATTGCAGGTACTTTGAGCCCACCTGGGACGGCTACTTATGTGATGGCGCCGATGTGCTGGCGACGTCTGAAGTGGTAATATCCTTATGGACAAGACGCCCCTGTTTTGTACAATCCCGGCCCGTGCATCTTGTTCGCACAGGATCTCATTTCCTACCAAACCTCCTTCCTCACCTCCCGTCGTTACACACAAAATCCCGCCATGCCACCAATCCGTACAGAGAAGAAGAACAGTGTTGCGCAAGCTGCTTCTTCGCGCGGTCTCGCTGCCTTTGGCTTTAAACCTGCCCCGAAAGAGGAGGTCGTAGCCGCAGCGGCCCGAGCAAAGCCTCCAGTCGCATCACGACCCGCCGCAGTCCAAGTAGAGCAAGTAGCACAAGTAGTACAAGACGCGCCGAAGCCAAAACCTCGTCTTCCGAAGCCCCTTGTCAAAGGAAATAAACAAGCCGCCTTCGAAGATTCCAGATACCACTGGGACGACAAGTACCACAAAATCGTTGGAACATCGACACGAAAGATCATCTTTGGAAGAGGCTTCAAACTGGCGGAGTAAGTCGCACCCCTTCCTAATGCTTACAGTGTATACAATGCAGTGCTAATTTGCGTTCCCTAGTAAACATATAGACGACATCCTCTTCTTGGGTCCCAAAGTCTGCGACGTGCTTACGGAAATTCATTTCCAATACTTGGATACTGATTACGACGCTCACAATGGTACGGCTCGATGGCTATGCAAGACTTAATAAAAATGTTGCTGATTGAAGACAGCCTGCCTCGTGACAGACGAGGGTATCAAACGCCTTGCTAGAGGCTGCAGAAACTTGAAGAAGGTGTTCCTACCCGGGGGTAGCGGTCCCAGCATGAGTGACGAAGGTCTAATTCACCTTCTTACCTTCTGTCGTGACATTACCCATCTGGAATTCTCCGGTCGTGGTATTACCGAAGCCGCTTTCCAGCAAATGGCCGCTAACCCAGATCTGGCGCCGAACTTGAAGAAACTACGCCTGAGCGACCAGTCTTCGGACAAAAACTACATGCGTGGCATGCGAGAGTTTGGAAGGTCGCGACCGACGCTACCAATCGAGCAGGTTCATCGTTCGCATTACAAGAAGTATGATTCGTGGTACATGTCGACTAGTCATACAACATACATCAATGGTAGAAAGGTGTCTACTAGTATCCCTGTTGACACATGAGCTATACCTAAGCGGGCCAGGTCATAGGTACTTTCTTTATCAACATATATCTTTCTTTGGCTGGACAGTATCTTGGGCTTATTGGAGCACAACTAGCAGGATGTCACGAACTGTCAAATTTACAGCGCCGCGCTAGCCAACGACAGAACTACAGGAAGGATTGGTGGCTTACAAGCATCGCGAGAGGGCGTTCGCCATGTGCCTGCCACATCGCCCAAACCTGTTTGTATGCACTAAAACAACCAATCGCAACTGGTGTCGAGATATTGGGGGGCTGGTACAGCTGGGTTGAGTTTCAGCCGTTGGAAAAAGCAATGCCCCAATGTAAGGTACGGCAGAGACCCACTTACAGGTACCCGCTATAAAATCTAGGTTACCTGAACATCGTTCTTTTGTTCTTGACTTTTCAATCTCTGTTTTCCCCTTCGAAGTTTCGACAACTTCCGCAGTTATGCCACCAATTCGCACACAAAACACAAACATCGCATCAGCGGGCAGCTTTGCAAGACTGGGATTTCCAGTAGTCTCGCGAGATGAAGCTGTAGCAGCGGCCATGAGTGTAGTAGTAATTGCGCAAACAAAGGCACCTCCGCGCCAGAAGCGCACTCGTCGCGCGAAGACGCAGTCGCGTTCGGCACCGATCAGTCGTATACTACCCACTCCTCCTATCACACCGCCAACCACGTCAAATACACCCGAAGAGGACGAGAACCAGGAAACTGGCTCAGACGCTGAAAGCAGTAATCCGGGGAGCGAACGTGATCCGAGTGATTGTTCATGCGGGCGACAATGCGTCGCCGAAATTTCGACTGAATCATCCAACTGGCGAAAACCAGCTCATATTTCAACTGGACACGGTATCACTATTGAACCAGAATGCCATTGGAGTTTCGAGTGGAGTAAGCTCATTTGCGAGCGATGCGCTGTGGGTCGTCAGTTGGACGTAGGCATGTAAGTCAACTGGACGTGTTTTGCTCGGCAGACCGCTTGCTGATAACCAAAAGCATGACTGATGAAGCCCTTCTGGCGGTCAACATGAATGGGAAGATAAAGCATATCCACTCTGGCCAAAAGTAAGCTGCGTTATCTTTCTGCAGGAAGCAGTCATCCTGCTAACTCGAATCAGCACTTGGGAATCCAGATTCTTTACGGGACAAACTGGCACAGAACAAAGTCTGATTCATCTCATTCACCACAGCCCTAGTCTGCAATCTGCTCATCTGAAAGAGTCCCGCAGTCGAAACGTGTTCTTCGCACTCGTCTCTTCGTGCCCAGCTCTCCTCAGCATCCACCTATCTGGGGACTCTGATTATACGGATCCAGCCGAACTGTGGGCTCTCGCCGAGCACCCAGAGTGGGTACCCAATTTGCGGGAATTAAGTCTATCGTCAGGCAGGATGTTCTTTCATCCCAAACGGATGCAACCGGAAGGTTTAGGACTTGCTTTAACGACACTTGCGAATGCAAGACCAAACCTCATCTTCAGCTTTATTTCGGGCAAAAGGATAGTTTGGGCCAGGGTCCCACCGTGGATCAGTTTCGATTGGTATCAAGACCATCGGAGGCCGTTGGGCAATGCAGAATTCGATTTGAGAGATATTGTGGAGGCTACACCTTTCGTTTCGAATTGGGCATGAGCTACGGAAGCGGCACAAGCTTGTCTACCCACCAAAGATTTGGTACATCGATCTTATTTATTATTATCATGCGTTGTGTCTGTATCGTACAGAGGAAGGGCATCAGCCAAATCACTTAGCTCGCCGCCATCCGATCTTCGTCGGATCCTACACCTACGCATTCTCTCGATGAACCTTCTGCTCCTTCTCCCCCAGCGGCCCCTCCACACCTGGATGAACACTCTTCCTCCTCTTTTCATCTCTCTGCTGCCGACTCTGATCGAGGCTCTGCGCAAACTTCGAATTGGCTCTGATCTGCGGACCTTTCCAGTACACGATGTAGATGGGAAGGGTGACCAGGAAAGCAAGGCAGGCTAGAATAGTGGAAGCGTATTGCAACGGTCGACCAGGGATATTCGAGTAAAGCGGTGTTGAGTATAGAGAAGCGATACCGGCTAGGGCATCACGAGCGAGATCGTTGCCACCGGTTGCCGAGGAGGCGTAGGGACCGTATGCGGCGGTTTGGTAGTCGATTGAAGACTGGTAGATTGCATACTGGGAAGTATTAGCCACTGAACACTGAACACCACATGAAAGGCTCCAAAACTTACGTTCGCCATGCCAACCATTGCCGAGAAGATCATCGGCGCGATCCAAGGAATGCCATAGTCTGGGCCAAGTGACGTCCAAGCAAACCCAAACAAGCCGATAGTCTCCAGCGGAGCGAGGAAAAGCAACCACCAAAGTCGGGCTTCCGGTTCGACAGACCCCGGATTCTGTCGTCGTTTCTTCCGGAAACTGATGATCGACGGCATGTACGAAGCGTAAGCCAGGAAGTAACTGATCAAGATGGGAAGGAAGGCTAGACCTGCGCCAACGACGCCAAAGCCCCATTGTTCGTAGACGGGACCGAAAGACTCCAAGAATGTGAAGATCAAGGCGTCGCTGAAACCACTGAGTAGTGAGAGCCATAGAACGATTGGTTCGGTAAAGAACATGTAGAAAGGTCTATCTTATCATTAGCATCGAAACCATCAAGTCTTGAAGCCGTTACATACCTCCAGAAGATAGTGCCGACCTCTTTGAAGCTCATCTTATGGCCACCTCGGATCTCATTTGGGCCATAGATATTCGGGTCTTCACCTGTCTTACGTCGTCTCTTCGCCTCACGGTCCAATAGGATTGTCGAGCGAGTCTCGGGGTTGCAGACAAAGTGAACGAGCTGGACGAAGCCTCCGATGATGAGCTGGACCCAGAATATCCACTCGACCGACTTGTACCTAGAGAGCTAAGTCAATAATTGCTAGCGAAACTTGCCAATGATGTACTCACCTTTCTACGAACGCTCCGATGATGGCACCAACAACAGACCCACCAACGGATGATAGCACTAGGAAAGCGACAGCAAACTCTTGTTCATCCGGCTCCCACATATCGGCGAGTACACCAAGCGTGACCGAGCCGCCAGCCGTTGATAAGCCTCCAAGCGTCCGGACCACCACATATGTCGCATAGTTCTTCGACAAAGCAGCTGGTATTTGCCAGAGGTTGACAAGGAACAGACTGAGTTGCTGGATGGGCCATCGTCCATACTCTTCTGACCAGGGAGCCCAAAGTTCGCAACCGATACCGTAGGCGATCAAAAACGCTGCCTGTGGGACGCGAGCTGCTTGTTCGCTAACGCCATGGTGTTCGGACACGGCGCTAACGGCATGCGAGTACATGGACGCATTCGTGTTGATGCTGATTTGGATGAAGAAGACGACGATGAGGATCTGCCTATCGTGGAATCATTGTCAGCGCCGTACATTGAACATCGCAACATGGAGAGAGTGATTGCGAGGAGGTTGTAAGCCCATGGTAGGCTCTCGACATGCGCCGCCACAATGGTCGGGTCTCACGGCAAAGCGGCATCCAGACAAGAGACATAAGCGCAACTCACCATTTGCGCCAAGTTGGGAACGAGTAACCAAGCTTGTCCCAAGCATCACTGTCTTGTAGCTCGACTTTGTCGCCTGTGATGATTCGGTCCGTCTTCTCTTGCTCAAGTTCTGTGCCTTCGCCATAGTTGGGGTCGCGCTCTGTGTCAGGCACAGCTGTCGGCTTGCCATCGTCTACGGTAGCCATATTGGAGTCCGCACGTACGTAGGAGGATAATTGAGAGAAAGGGGTGTGAAAGGCGGAAAACGAAGAAGTGTACGAGATATACTTCACACCACCTCGCCCACAGTGCATACGCCTCTTCGCCTTACGCTCACCCTCTACGCGACATCAGGCTGCCCGTTACTCCGTGCCTCTGATGTCAAGAGGCGGCTGGTTACATCTTCGGTAAGCTTACTCCGCCAATGTGAGGCTTGTCATTTTGAGCCAAGGCATACACAGCCGTGGCAGCCAAGAGTAATCAACTGATCGCGGGGTAAATAAGGGTGCATCGACCGATGATGGGGAATGCGATGTGCGTTGCGTTTCCCATGTTTGGTCGATGCGGGTGTTGGGCCAAGAGAAGGAATGAGGCATGGCGTCATAGGCGTTCTGTACGCTGCGGTTACGCGGCGTCGACCAGGAAGACGGATCCTGCTCATACAGTCGATACATGCAGAGTGCCTGGCGCGGAGTTTGACGCCGGTTTGCGTGATGTCATGCACCCAAGCAGTTGTTTAGGAGATGAGTGTGAAAGGATGTCGACACGTGGTGGACGGGCCCACGAATGGACGGCAGGCGCGCTAGGCGCACGCGACCTGGCAACACCGATCCGAGAGTGGTAATCCGCGGCATAGATGGGTAAAACCCGACATGTACCTCATGGGGATCGGATTACTATTAGGAGCACTTTTGCGACCGACTATCGTCCACCAGCTGTGCCATATTTACCGTTGCCGTGTCTGACTACCTCCCCTGCGGGCTCAACAGCAGCGCCGTTATCGCATCAACACACGCATAGAACTTTTGTCCCACCTCTGGCTGAGCGAGGTATGCTGAAGTCTTCTCCTTAATCAGATCTTCGTGGCTCCACTCCTCCAGTGGCACATCTTCCAACCCCGTCACATCAAACCGAAAGTACTTCATCCAATTGCGCTCCATCAACGCAGCATGTTCGGCTTCGAATCTATCACCCCACGATCTTGCTTCAGCCTTCCTATCCTCAACGCTGTTCGCCATTTCGGGAATCTCATTTTTGCGATTCAGGCCGACGCCCGTACCGACTGAGACAATGATCATCATGTCGTTCGCATATCGGAACAGCTTCCTGCATTCATACAGGATGTCGCGGACTGGATTGTTCTTTGTAGTCCCGTGGTCGACGAGACCCTTCTCAATCACGAAGCGTTGCGGTACGCCTGGCTCGGATTGCACGTATCGTGGGGCCGCTGAGGTCGCCTTCAT